CCCATCTTCCTAAATGGCTCCGCCATCATTACCGTTCCTGGGTAACGTTATTCTCAAAGGCTGGTCCACACTCCCTCTTAGGACTGACCCGGAAGGAGCTTTGTCGTCCCAATAGGTGCACATAGAGGTGGTTTGCAGTTTTTCTCCATTCCAACAACACTGTGAACGGTTGGCTCTATTTCCTGGGTGCTTTACTGCAGGGCCAAGGAGTGTGGACATTTTATAAGCTCTTGATGTTGTCAAACTGTTTTTCAGAAAGTTTGTGTCATTCTGTACAGTCCCCTGGAGTGTCTGGGATTCTCCGAGAGCCATCGGTTTTAGTGTCAAAGCTTTTACATTTTTAGGAGTCTTGGTTAGTGGATTTGCTTAGTGTTCAGACGCCAAGTTTGACTTCCCTCTATTCAAAATGGGCCTGGGTTAGGCAAAGATTTCTTAGATACAACACCAAACACATGGTCCAGAAAAAGAAAAAAAATCAGTACATTGGATCTCATCAAAATTCAGAACTTTTGCACTTCAAAGCGCAGTGATAAAGACGCCATTAAGAAATGACGGGACAAGCAGGCAACTGGGAGAAAATCTTGACAAAACACATGCCCAGTAGGGGCCTTGTATTCAGAATTGACAAAGAACTCCAACAGCTCAATAAGAAGAAGACAAACAACCCAATCGAAAAATGGGTGAAAGACAGGGACAGACATTCCCCAGAAGAATATATATGGTTGGCCAATAAGCACGAGAAAGGATCCCAGTACCGTTAGGTATTAGGGAAATACAAAGCAGAACCTCAGTGAGAGACTATTTCACCCCCACGAGAATGGCGATAATAACTGACGGACAATAAATGTTTTTGAGGATGTAGAGAAATAGGAACCCTCACACGTTGCTGGTGGGAATGTGAAATGGTGCAGCCACGTTGGAGAACAGTTTGTCAGTAAATGATAAGCATACAGCCTGATCCATACATGCAGCATACTACGTGACCCAGCTCTCCCACTGCTAGATGCCTCTACTCAAGAGAAACGAAAACATCTGTCCACACAGAGACCCTCATGTGAAGGTCCTTAGCAGCGTCTTCATAAATGTCTACATGTCCAACCTTAATGTCCACGAACTGATGGCTGGATAGACAAAATGGATTTATGGCTCCATTTATAGGAAATGTTCAGAAAAAGGCACCTTTTTAGAGACAGAAAGTAGATTAATGGTTGTCTAGAGCTTGGGGTGGGAACAGAGATTAATTTTAATTAATTATAGTACTTTTGGGTGAAACTTGTGCACGGAGGATCTTATTAGGGAGATGAAAATGTCCTAAAACTTGTTTATGGTGATGATTTCACCGTTTGGTGAAGTTACTAAAAATCATTGAATTATACACTTGAAATGGGTGCACCGTATGATATGAAATACACCTCAGTAAAGTTGTTATAAGGTGGCGGGGGTGCTTTGCTTAGGAGAGGGATGGCAAGAAGAAGATGGGTGTATGCTTCCAGCTGCCAGAGTCTTGCAATCACTTCAGAAGCTCTCTGGGTGCCGTGGGAGCTTTGGCGCTCCACTGCCCTGGAGGAAGAAGGAGCAGGGACAGATCGCCCTCAGATGGCTGCACTCCACGGGGTGCCCCTTTGCAATGTGACTTTGCCCTTCCTCCTGTCCTATTCTGACTTTGCCAGCCCTGAAGCCGTCTTCGCCGAGGGGAGGTTGTAGACCTGCCCCTCGGGCCTGAGTCTCAGGTGGCACACCTTTGCCTTCATTCCATCCCATGATGCCCCGGCTCTTGACCTGGACACTACCTCCCTCAGGGAAGTGGTTCCAAATCTTGGCTGTGCAATGGGATCTTGGTGGAGGTGACTTTAACAAACAAGCGTTCTGTTCCAGTTATTTATTATTGCACAACGAATCATCCCCGAATTTACTGGGTTAGGACAGCAGTAACTTACTTTGCTGATAAATCTGCAATTTGCAGAGGGCTTGATGGGGACAGCTGGTTTCTGCTACACATGGTGTCAGCCAGGTGACTCAAAGGCTGGGGGCTGGAATCACCCGAGGTCTGGCTCTCACATTTTGGGCAGTGAGGCTGGCAGTTGGCCGGGAACCCTGCCGGCTGTTGGCCAGAGCATCTACACGTGGCCTTTCCATGAGGCTGCTTGGGCCTCCTCACAACATGGTGCTGGGTTCCTAGAGTGAGCGCCCCAAAGAACAAGGCAGAAGCACATGGAATTCGTATGACCTGGCTTCAGATGTCACCGAGTGTCACTTCCACCCTACTCTGTTGGCTGAGGTGGTCCAAAAGTTCTGTCTGGGTTCAAGGGGGAGGGGACTAGACCCACCACGGGATGTGAAGAGTGTTGACATCACACTGTAGGAAGAGAGGGTGGGAGGGAATCTATTGAGGTGTTTGGAAAATACAATCCGTCACCGGTTCCTAAGCCCCACCTCTGGAGAATCAATTCCACAGGTCTGGAGTGAAGCCTCAGGATTGAAGATTTGACATGATCCTGGGTGATTCTCATGCACATCCAGGACCAAGGCTCTTTGGTCTAAGACCTCTCAAGCCCGAGTTCAGGGCCGCCCCACAGGAGATGCTGGGGAGGTTGGCTGCTGCCCTTGGTAACAGGGTGATCGAGGACCCTTTGGAGCAAAACCAGCCTCAGGCAGCAGGTGGCACCTGACGGGCAGGAGGCCTGCTGTCTGTCCCAGGGAGGGTGGTGTCACTGACCGGCTCTTGTTAATGGGGCCTTTTGGGAGCTGGTGTATCCTAGTAGCCTTTTCCCCTTGCAACCCTGGGTGTGTCTTTTTAGTACTTCCTTGCTTATGGACGGTAGTCTGCAGGCTGTTGGACAGGGTGTCATGGCACTCAGTGGTGAAACTTGAGTCCTTCTCCCCAGGGGACCTCACTGCCATTTGGAGACTTCCCCTCACAGCTGTTCTTAAGGTTCAGTTTTTTAGACTGATCGAACCTGAGGAATGTCGGAGGGCCCCCGTCAGTGGGAAGTATTCTGGAATACTGGACTACTGTCCCCAGCCCCTGGGGACGGCCTAGGGAGGTGGGCACTGGGAGGGAGGGTGCTTGCGTCCACAGTTTTGCTCTTTGGCCACGGGTAGGTTGTGTCTCATCTCAGAGCCTCAGTTTCTGCGACAGCGAAGTGTGTGTGGAGATTCCGCACCCATTCGCTTGAACAAACTACTGCCCGGGGGCTTGGTACCGGGGCCCCCGTGCGCCACTCCAGCCTCATCATCCCTTCCCTGAACTTGCCACACGTTTTCACTCTGCTTGGCCTTTGCATATGCTGTGTCCTCTGCCTGGAATGCCTCCCCTTGCTTTCCTCGCCCGGCAGACCCCACAGTTTGGCTTTTGTCACCTCTTCCGTGAAGCCTGCCCCAACCCCTCCGGGCAGTCGCTTCTGCGATATGTCCCTCCGCCGCAGCCCCTTTGGTGGTCTGTGGTCTTCTACATCGGGAGCAGCAGCTAGGGGTCTCTCATCTGGGGGTGGGGGGCAGGGTGTCCGTCAGATAGTCTGGCTTTCAATCCAGTGCTGCCATATACCTGTGTGACCACCTCAGGCAAATCGCTTCACCTCTCTAAGCCTCGGTTTCCTCATCGCTGAGTTTGGGGCTCATGATGACTGAAAAGAATTCTCATGATGTTTGAAGGACATCAGTGACAGAAGCAGAGAGTCTGTGCCAGAGAGGATGGGGGGTGGGGTGGGGTCGGGTCATCTGAGTTTGCAGAGCCCGGTGCTTCCTTTGCCTTCATCAAAGAACGGTAGGGGGCCGCTGATGGAGCTGTAGTGGGGAGCTGGCAATGCCTCTCCCCTGTACTGCAGGTAAGGCTCAGGCGCATAATAGGTGCTCACGTTCAGAGCAGGAATTCCTGAAAGACTGAATGGGGGCTTCCCTGGCGGTCCAGTGGTTAAGATTTCGCCTTCCAATGCAGGGGGTGTGGATTCGATCCCTGGTCGGGGAGCTATGATGGCACATGCCTCACGGCCAAAAAAACCACAAAAAACCAAAACATAAAAAGCAATATTGTAAAACATTCAATAAAGACTTAAAAAATGGTCCGCATCCAAAAAAAGAAAAGGACTGAGTGGATAAGCGAATAACTGAAGGCATAAAGGCAGCTGGTTCTGCATTTGTATACAACTCTCTGCTGGACCTTGTCTGGGCGCCTGGCCTGGGACCAGCGACTGAGGCGGGGAGCCCCGCCCCCAGGAGAGGAGCCCCGCCCCGGGGCTGTGGCCACGCGCGTCTCCTAGCAACCGCCAAACATAGCGGCGAGGCGGCTCCTGCGGGCCTCCCTGCCCGGGTGGACGCACCAGGTCCTCTGAGCCTCCTCGGTGAGGAGGCTGTGCAGCTGCTGTGCGAGCTGACCGACGCCGTCGTCTGAGCCCACGCGCCTGCCCAGCGCGTCCGCTCACAGGTGCCGCAGGTACCCCCCTCCATTCTCCCCGGCCCCCGCTCCGGCTGCGCAGCCCCTTCTTAGCGTTTGCTGGCGTGCGGCGTCCGTGGAGGGCGCTTGTGCCCGGAGCCCAGTACTCAGTGCTCGGTCGGGTCTTGCCTCGGGGTCCTCGCCCTCCTTGGCCTCAGCAGGCTCTTGCGCGTGCTGCCCCCAAACCAAGGTCATATTGTGCTTTGGCACAGGTAACCCGAGGCCCTCACCCCCCACCCCTCCCTGTGGTTCTTGGGGAATTGCACTCACCTGGAGCAGGCATTCCAGACGTGCTGAATGATTAACTTTGATCGTGAAAGGAGGAACAGCTGGGGCCGGGAGGATGGGACTCAATTTGGAGACACTGGCTTTGCTGATTATCACGATTACCGACGGCACCATTCTCTGAGGTTCATCTAATCTCTGTTGAGTGTCCGCTGCGTGCCAGGCAGTGTCTGAGGCCTTGGCTGGTCAGCCCGGAACAGGACAAGGCACGGGGCGAGGAGGGGGCAGGCAGGGCTTCCCTCCTGGGAGCAGTGGTGGTGACGGCCGTGCCTTTATTTCCTTGCAGCCGGGAGTGCCGGCCACGGGGGCCGCCCTGCCGCATGTGGCTGCCGGCCTGTGAGTGGGAGGACGAGGACCAGGCGAGCATGGGGGCCGTGTCCTCCATGGGCAGCTTTTACCAGTCCGTGAGCGAGTGTGAAGTGGAGGAGAACCTGAAGGTTAGGGCCTGGGCCCAGGAGTCGGCCACCGGCCACCAGTGCAGCGGCGAGTCCTCAGAAGGGCCTGCCAGCACCTTCGACTCGGACGTGCCCCACGTCGTCCCCTGCAAGTTCATCATCTCTCTGGCCTTCCCAGCGACCGCCGGTAAGTGTGACAGCAGAGAGGGAGTGTACCAGTGACCTTCTCCCAGGAGTGTAGGGCGCCCGTGCTCCCTCTGCTGGCTCCCTAAGTAGGGTGGCCAGTGACAGGAGCAGAGGTCCGGAAAGGAACTGCCACTTTAGGGCCCACTGTGGTCCAGGCAAGGAACAGTTTATGGGCTTCACAGACTCAGTCCTCTCAAAACCCCAAGAAGCAGGTGTTGTTATTTCTGCTTTTTGAAAATAAAGAAGTGACGGAGAGGTTAAGGCATTTTTTCCCCCCATAAGCTGGTTGTGCATCATCTAATTCCTTGTTTAAATACAGACTCAGATTATTGGATCAAAATCTCTGAGTGCAAAGGCAATCAGCTACTGCCCAAAACCGCTGTGTAACAAATACAAACAACTCCCCATTTCATTGGCTTCAAACAGAAATCCCTGTCCTGGGTGAGCAGGCCAGCTGATCTAGGCTGGGCTTCCTGCAGTAGCTCTGCCCTGCTTCTGTCTCTGTCATCCTCCTCTCGGATGTGTGGGCAACCCAGACGCATTCCTGTCATGGAAAGGCAGGGCACAAAAGAGGGCAAGCCCAGTCACCCCAGCACTCTTCAGGTCTTTGGACACCTCCCACCTGCAGGCATTTTATTGACCAAAGCAAGGCACATGGTTGAACCCCAAGATTAAGGGCAGAGAAAAGTACTCCACTTTTTTTTAAGGTGGACTATCTTTTTTTATATCAGCTTTTTAATTGAAATATAGTTAATTTACAATGTTGTCTTAGTTTCAAGTGTACAGCAAAGTGATTCAGTCATACATGTTCTTTTTCAGATTCTTTTCCATTGTAGGTTATTACAAGATATGCAGTATAGCTCCCTGTGCTATACAGTAGGTCTTTGTTGTTTATCTATTTTATATATAGTGGTGTGTATATGTTAATCCCAACCTCCTAATTTATCTCCCCTCCCCTACTGTCCCTTTTGGTAACCATTAAGTTTGTTTTCTATGTCTGTGAGTCTATTTCCGTTTTGTAAATAAGTTCATTTGTTTCCTTTTTTTAGGTTCTGCATCTAAGTGATATATAATATTTGTTTTTGTCTGACTGACTTCACTTAGTTTGATAATCTCTAGGTCCATCCATGTTTCTGCAAATGGCATGATGTCATTCTTTTCATGGCTGAGTAATATTCCATTGTGTATATGTACCACATCTTCTTTATCCATTCTTCTGTCGATGGACATTTAGGTCGCTTCCATGTCCTGGCTATTGTAAACAGTGCTGCAGTGAACATTGTGGTACATGTATCTTTTTGAATTACAGTTTTCTGAAGATCTACGCCCAGGAGTGGGATTGCAGGATCATATGGTAACTCTATTTTTAGTTTTCTAATGAACCTCCATACTCGTTCTCCACAGTGGCTGCACCAATTTACATTCCCACCAACAGTGTAGGAGGGTTCCTTTTTCTCCACACCCTCTCCAGCATTTACTGTTTGTGGACTTTTAATGATGGCCATTCTGACTGGTGTGAGGTGAGGCCTCATTGTAGTTCCGATTTTTCATTTCTCTAATAATGAGTGACATTGAGCAACTTTTCCTGTGCTTGTTGGCCAACTATATGTCTTCTTGGAGAAATGTCTACTTATGTCTTCTGCCCATTTTTTCATTGCGTTGTTTGTTTTTTTGATATTGAGCTGCATGAGCTGTTTGTAAATTTTGGAAATGAATCCCTTGTTGGTAGCATCATTTGCAAATATTTGCTCTCAGACCTTAGGTTATCTTTTGATTTTGTTTATGGTTTCATTTGCTGTGTGAAAGCTTTTAAGTTGAATTAGGTCCCATTTGCTTATATTTCCATCACTGTAGAAGACGGATCCAAAAACATATTGCTGCAATTTATGTCAAAGAGTGTTCTGCCTATGTTTTCCTCTAGGAGTTTTATAGTATCCTGTCTTACGTGTAGCTCTTTAATCCACTTTGAGTTTGTTTTTGTGTATGGTGTTAGAGAATGTTCTAATTTCATTCTTTTACATGTAGCTGTCCAGTTTTTCCAGCACCACTTACCACTTATTGAAGAGACTGTCTTATCTCCAATGTATATTCTTGTTCTCGTTCTGTGAAAAATGCCTTTGACGGTTTGATAGGGATTGTGTTGCATCTGTGGATTGCCTTAGATATTATGGTCATTTTAACACTATTGACTCTTCCAATCCAAGAACATGTGGTGTATCTTTCCATATGTTTGTGTCGTCTTTGATTTCTTTCATCAGTGTCTTATAGTTTTTGGAGTACAGGTCTTTTGCCTTCTTAGGTAGGTGTATTCCTAGATATATCAAGAAGTACTCCATTTTTTGATATGACTTTTTTTGTTGTTCTGCCTGAAATATCTCCCCACGATGATTAATTTCAACTTCTCCTTGTAGTTCTGTTGATGGTTGCTTCAGATATTTTGGAGGTTATTTGGTTAGGTGTATACCATGTTTTAGAATTGACCTATCTTCTTGGTGAATTGAATTTTCGGTCATTGTGTGTGACCTCCTCTATCCATAACGGTGCTTTTTATCTTTGGTCGGTTGATATCAAGCAAAAGAACCTGGAAAAAGACATCTGCAAATACCACCCAAAAGAAAATTGGTGCTTATTTGATTACCTTTAATCCTCACGTCTCTTGCAGCATCTCCTAGATTTGTTTTTCTTAGTTGGGCACTTATTCCAAAGGCGTTTACAAAATAGATTGCTGTGCAGCTCAACTTATGAGACCTTGCCTGAGAGTATTTTTATGGCGCCAATACCTTCGAAGGATCTGTCTTTGGCTGGATATAAAATTCTAGCTTCAATGTTTTTTCCTTCAATACCTAAATAGTTATGAATTTATTTATGAATGTTTATGTAAGTTGTTTACTTAAGAGAAATGAGGTCCTATGTATCCTGTTCTACAACTTGCTCTTTAAAAATTTGATGGCACCTCTTAGATATCTTACAGGATATGAGCAGACCTGGTTTTACTTTGTTGTCGTTTGTTTTAAACACCTATATAGTATTCCATCGTATGTGTCTAATTTATCCTATCCTGTATTGGTGGGGATTTTTTGTTTTTTTTTTTAACCTGCCTCTTACTGTCGAGACTAGGGGCAGGCAGGTAAGTGCCTACAGTAAAAAAATTTAAGGAGATGCTCACCTCGGAGTCACGCGCTATAATTCCGCACACTGGCTTCCAGCCCTGGGCCTGCTCCTCTGGTGGCTGCGAGGACCGGACATACATCTTAACTCCAAGCGGGTGGCAGTGGGGAGTCTGCACACGGCACCTCCCACAGCCTTGGGCTCTTCTTCATTCCGGGGAATCGTGGAGATGGCTCTGCTTTCCCAAGTGAGGTTAGAACAGGTCTCATTACATCTGTATCTTCTAGGTCACAAAGGAAAATGTTCAAGTTTGGTTGAAAAATACAGGAGACACCCTAAAATGGACAAACCTATTGCAAAGGTTCGCCATTACTACCACATCGAGTACTTCCTCCTGCCTGATGTTGGGGAGCCTAAAAAGGTCGATGTGGTGGTGTTTCCAGCCTTGGCCAAAGTGTTCCTGGATTCAGGAATAAAGGTGAGAGTGTGTGTGTGTGTGTGTGTGTGTGTGGCCTTGCATATAGTCTGATACCCACAAGAAATAGCAGGAGCCACAAAGGATGCTCACTTCCCCTGGAACTTGCTAGAAATGTAGGATCTTGGTCGCCACTCTAGGCCTACTGAATGGGAATCTGCACGAACCTAATAATATTGATAGCAACTCTATGATTTTCTCTGAAGGTATTTTTACCTAATAATTTCTTTGGTGTTTCAAAAGTTTTGGCAGCTCTTGTTATTTCTTTCTGTGTGTACACGTGAGTACGTGTGTGTGCACACCCGCCACCCGCACACACACGCACACTCCCGCCTGGGGCAGGGCTCTGGGTCAGGATGGGGAGTCCCTGGGAGGGACACTCTTTGCAGGGAATTGCTTTTACTTTATTTTTCCGAGCAACCCAGAGGCGTGCAGGCCCCTGTCTGCGGCACCCATTTCCTGATTCCCTATGTGAGTTGGGAGCCAGGAGGGAGTGGGATGCACAGACAGACAAGCGGAAGGCAGGGCCTGCCACATCGTGGCAGCGGTCAGATCCTGGCCTCTGAGCTTTCAACGCTGAGAGTCTTGTTGTCCTTTTACACAGACCATCAGGCCATGGCAAGAAGGGGACAAGGTCTGGGTGTCGTGGACCCAAAGTTTTAACATCAACATGACAAAGGAGTTACTAAAGAAAATAAATTTTCACAAAATCACCTTGAGGCTCTGGGACACCAAGGACAAGGTTTCGAAAAAAGCCAAGAATTATCGGTTAAAACCTTCTGGGTTTCTGGAAGATGCAGGATCTTTTGGTAAGTTCATGGCATTCATGTTTGATTTGAAATGTTTCCGCAGGCATGTGGCTTCTCACTGGTAACAGCAGAAAAGCCAGCCAGCATCTCCTTGTTTGGTGCATCTGGTTTTCCTGGGGCCCACGCTGGTTTCTGTCAGCGCAGTGACACCCCCCTCTCTCCAGGGCATGTGCGGCGATGGGAAGGGCGCCCCAAGTCTGTGTGCTGCCCGTCAGCCACCACTCTGGGCAGTGCTGAGGCGGGCACCCACCACCGGCCTGTGTCCCAGGATGAGTCTGGTGTGCTCCCTGAACAAAAAAATTAGAGGCTATCGAGAAACAAAACAGAAAACTCGAAAGTCCCACAGCCCTGTTTCCATTAGGCCCTTCAGACTCTTCCTCGTGTAAAGATTATTGTATCAGTGCCAGAAAGTCTCCTTTCGAACTCCCCTCAAAGGAGAGAGGCCTAGGTTGAAGCTGAGTTGAACCCTGTCTCCATCCCGAGCTAATGGTGACCTTGGGCACCTACTTCGTCTGGCCAGATGCCTGGGGGCAGGGTGGTGGGAGCGCGCCCCCCTCCCCCCGCAATAAGGAGGATTGCATTGTGTAGAGGGAATTTTAAAACTATAATAAAATGCTTCCACTTAAAATATGCAGCGGCATTCTTGTAAGATACATCCCAGTTTTCAGAGATATTAGAAGGTAAAGTCGATGTACTCCAGAGAATGGGTGGAACGAGGTGCTGTTACGGCCGCTGATCGCGGCTTCCAGACAAGTACAGCCCTCCCCACTTTCCATGAGCAAAGTCGGCCTGGACTTGCTTGTAGCGAGAGGCAGCGCCAGAATCAGAACCCAGTTTTGTGTGACTGGAAAGTTTTTTCTCCGGTTTCCAGCCTGCGCTCCTCAAAGAGCCTTCCTGACCTTGGGGGCTTGGGGCTTCCGAGTTTTAATCTTTCATTGCTATCCCGGGTTTCTTAGCCTCGGCAGTGTGGGCATCTTGGGTTGGATTGTTCCTTGTTGCAGGGACCGTCCTGGGCACTGGAGGGCTGTTAGCAGCATCCCTGACCTCTACCCACTAGACGCCAGGACTAGCCTCCCAGCTGTGACAACTAGAAATTTCTTCGGACATTGTCTGCAGGTGCAAAATTGCCCCTGGCTGAAAATCACTGATTTGCCTCTAAACTACTAGTCCTGGGTGAGAAAATGGGATTCACGTTCTCTTTTCTCACTTGGACCAAAGGAAAGACCCATGTCCTCAGAGCGTGGGCTCTAAACCACCCGCATTGGACGCACTTGGAGTGCAGCCTCAATGCAGGTTCCAGGGCCTGCCCCGGAGCTGCCGAGCCCAAATTTCTGGTAAACATGTGCCTGGCAGTGGGCTTACCCTGGAGCAGAGGTGCCAGGGTGGGTGTACCAGGAGGACTTCCTGGAGAAGGGGCCATGGAGACAAGTTTGGAAGGGTAAATGGAATCAGCCGGCCGGAAAAGGGAGGAGGGCGGGTGTCACGGGCCCTTCAGTGAGGGCCCATGGGCCTTTTGCTGTGAGCGTCCTTGGGGCCACTGCTCCTCCTCGAACCCTGTCCCACGCCTGGCATCACTGCCTCTTAAGTTAACTAATTTTTTTCCGTTAAAAATGTCAGTGTGTGTTCACTTTGCAAAACAATTTAGAAGTAGATTAGCCAAAGGGAGAAAAAATTAAAATCGTATGATGTCTGAGCAGAGACAGCCATTGCTAACATTTTCCTGTGCGTTTTACAACTGGGTACAAAATTTTAACAAAGACGGATGCAGTGTACATATTGTCTTAAGTCCTGCCTTTTTCCACTTAAGAAGTTATCTTTTTGTTTTATTTTGGAGGAGCTTCTTTTAATCAGTATTTTTTAATTGAAGTATAGTTGATTTACAGTGTTGACCGCTATACACTAAAGTGATTCAGTTATTTGTGTACACATTCTTTTTAAAAATATTCTCTTCCATTACGGTTTATCATAGGATGTTGACTATAGTTCCCTGTGCTGTACAGTAGGGCCTTGTTGTTATCCATTCTATATATAATAGCTTACATCTGCTAACCCCAACCTCCCACTCCATCCCTCCCCCAACCGTCTGCCCCTTGGCAACCACCAGTCTGTTCTCTGTGTCTGAGTCTGTTTCTGTTTTATAGACAGGTTCATTTGTGTCATATTTTAGATTCCACATATAAGTGACATCATACGGCATTTGTCCTTCTCTTGCTGACTTACTTCACTTAGTATGATAACCTCTAGTTGCATCCATGTTGCTGCAAATGGCATTATTTCATTTTTTATGGCTGAGTAATATTCCATTGTATATATGTACCGCATCATTTTTTTAACATCTTTATTGGCGTATAATTGCTTTACAATGTCGTGTTAGTTTCTGCTGTATAACAACGTGAATCAGCTGTATGTATACATATAGCCCCATATCCTCTCCCTCTTGAGCCTCCCTCCCACCCTCCCTATCCCACCCCTCCAGGTGGTCACAGAGCACCGAGCTGATCTCCCTGTGCTATGCGGCTGCTTCCCACTAGCTATTTTACATTTGGTAGTGTGTATATGTCAATGCTACCCTCTTACTTCATCCCAACTTACCCTTCCCCCTCCCCACGTCCTCACGGTACCACATCTTCTTTATCCATTCATCCGTTGATGGACATTTAGGTTGTTTCCATGTCTTGGCTATTGTGAATAGTGCTGCTATGAACATAGGGATGCCTGTATCTTTTTGAATTATAGTTTTGTCTGGATATATGCCCAGGAGTGGGATTGCTGGATTGTATGGTAATTCTATTTTTAGTTTTCTGAGGAACCTCCATACTGTTCTCCGTAGTGGCTCCCACCAACAGTGTATGAGGGTTCTCTTTTCTCCACATCCTCTCCAGCATTTGTTATTTGTAAGACATTTTAATGGTGTCCATCCATTCTGACCAATGTGAGGTGGTACCTCGCTGAAGTTTTGATTTGCATTTCTCTAATAATTAGCAGTATTGGGCATCTTTTCATTTGCCTATTGGCCATCTTTATGTCTTCTTCGGAGAAATGTCTATTTAGGTCTTCTGCCCATTTTGGACTGGGTTTTTTGTTGTTGTTGTTATTGAATTGTATGAGCTGTTTGTATACTTTAGAAATTAAGCCCTTGATGGTTGCATCATTTCCAGATATTTTCCCCCATTCTGTAGGTTGTCTTTTCGTTTTATGTATGGTTTCCTTTGCTGTGCAAAAGCTTATAAGTTTGATTAGGTCTCATTTGTTTATTTTTGTTTTTATTTCTATTGCTTTGAGAGACTGACCTAAGAAAACATTGGTACGATTTATGTCAGAGAACGTCTTGCCTATGATCTCTTCTAGGAGTTTAATGGTGTCATGTCTTATGTTTAAGTCTTTAAGCCATTTTGAGTTTATTTTTGTGTGTGGTGTGAGGGTGTGTTCTAACTTCATTGATTTGCATGCAGCTGTCCAACTTTCCCATCACCACTTGCTCAAGAGACTGTATTTTTCCCATTGTATATTCTTGCCTCCTTTGTTGAAGATTAATTGACCATAGGGGTATGGGTTTATTTCTGGGCTGTCTGTTCTGTTCCATGGATCCATATGTCTGTTTTTGTGCCAGTACCGCACTGTTTTGATTCCTGTAGCTTTGTAGTATCACCTGAAGTCTGGGAGGGCTGTGCCTCCTGCTTTGTTCTTTTTCTTCAGGATTGCTTTGGCAATTCTGGGTCTTTTATGGTCCCACATGAATTTTAGGATTATTTGTTCTAGTTCTGTGAAAAAGGTCATGGGTAGTTTGATGGGGATCACATTAAATCTGTAGATTGCTTTGGATAGTATGGCCATTTTAACACTATTAATTCTTCCAACCCAAGAGCATGGGATATCTTTCCATTTCTTTGAATCCTCTTCAGTCTCCTTTATTAATGTTTTATAGTCCTCAGTGCATAAGTCTTTTACCTCCTTAGTCAGATTTATTCCTAAATATTTTATTTTTGGGGGTGTGAATTTAAAAGGGATTGTTGTTTACATTCCCTATCTGATATTTCATTGTTGATGAAGTTATCTTCTTTTTTTAAAATTTATTAAATTTATTTACTTTTGGCTGCATTGGGTCTTCGTTGCTGCACGTGGGCTTTCTCTAGCTGCGGCGGCTCTTTGTTGCGGTGCATGGGCTTCTCATTGTGGTGGCTTCTCTTGTTGCAGAGCATGGGCTCTAGGTGTGTGGGCTCAGTAGTTGTGGCACGTGGGCTCTAGAGCGCAGGCTCAGTAATTGTGGTGCACGGGCTTAGTTGCTCCGTGGCACGTGGGATCTTCCCGGACCAGTTCTCAAACCCGTGTCCCCTGTGTTGGCAGGCGGATTCTCAACCACTGTGCTACCAAGGAAGCCCGAGAAGTTATTCTTGAAACTCCTGTTTCCTGGGAGCAGAGACACAAGAGGCCAAGGGAATGGGAAGTTCATCACCTGTGAGAACTTGGCAGCTTTCAGCCTCCTGGTCTTGAATGGAGCATCCCAACAAGAGTTAGCATTTTCTTCACTTAAATCTGCTCAGCCCCTTGGTTTCTCAGTACTGTCGGACAAAGACCGTCTGAAGCCCCCCAGGTCATGGCTGACTCCCGCTATGCCCTCAACTCTTGGCCACGCCCCACCCAGCACCTCCTTGGTGTCACTGCCTGTGTGTCGCTCTCTGGAGTTCTCTAGCCTTCAGCTGCCTCTTCTCTCTGCACCCACGTTCATGTTTGTCTCATCCCTCCTGCATTGTTCCCTGACCTTCCTGTATCACCCCGCAGACCCTCGCACTTCACTGCTCTGCAGCTTTTCATGGCTGCCCAGTGCCTTCGGGAACCAAGTCTGACATCTGAGTCCAGCCTCTAAGCCATCGTAAACCTTGCTCCCCAGGCCTCCTTTCTCATCGCTGCTGTCACCTTCACACCTGCTCCAGCCCTGGTCCCTGAAAACACTAGGCTTTTCCCCATTGTAGGGCTTGCCTTCGGGCATCAGGGGCTCTTAGCCTAATCTCTTGCTCCACAAATTGTTATGCATCCTTCAGCGCTGCATCCAGTCACATCTCTTTTCTCTCCACATCTTTCTTCAGCATCCGTTACTGCCATTCGTTCGCTCCTTCCCTCTGCTCGTTCTTCCTTCCACACGTGTTGGCTGCTGCTGTGTGCGTGCAAAGCCCCACACTGATAGACGTGAAAGACCCGGAGGGGTGTCACCTTCTCTGGGGATTGTCCTCACTTTGGTAAAGGATCAGCTCTCTGATCACAGGAGAGTGACTTAATCGTCAATAAAACGGGGAGGTGGTGATGCCTTTCTTAGAGTGCAGCGTGAGCATCAAATGCAACAACAGATACCGAGTGCATAGTGACCTGGTTTGGGAGAAGCCGTTGCCAGTTGAGGTTTGCATTTCCTGGTGTTTTGAAGCAGCTCCCCAGGCAGCAGCTCCAGGAGGGCAGCAGCCTTGCCTCCCTTATCGGTCCAGCACCAGGAGAGTGATTGTCACAGCATGGGTATCAGTGTGTATTTCTGAAATGGCTTTTTTTTTTTTTTTTTTTTGGTACGCGGGCCTCTCACTCTTGTGGCCTCTCCCGCTGCGGAGCCCAGGCTACGGACGCGCAGGCTCAGTGGCCGTGGCTCACGGGCCCAGCCGCTCCACGGCATGTGGGATCTTCCCGGACCAGGGCACGAACCCGTGTCCCCTGCATCGGCAGGCCGACTCTCAACCACTGCGCCACCAGGGAGGCCCCAGTGTGTATTTCTGATTGAGTCCATGATGCTTTCTTCTCCTGCATTCTAGAGGAGGTGAAACATTTGGTTTTAAGTCAGAGAAGATCGTCTGACAAGGGCGTTCACGTCAAAGAGAAGCTGCATCAGGACCACACACCAGGGAAGCCAGAAAAAGCAAGAAAATGCTTAAGGTCTGAACATGGTGAGTGGAGACCCCGGCAGGGAAGGTGGTTGGTTGGCGTAGCTGGAGTGCCACATGTGCACTGGCGTCCGCCCCGCGCGTGCGGTGGCTGTGCTGCGCCCCTTCACCCTCCGAAGCGGGTGCGGCTCTCCCTGCACGACTCTTTCATCGTGGATTCTTGCCATTTCATTTTTGTGACTTACCAAAAAAAAAAAAAAAAAAAACCTTTCCTAGCCGTAGAAGTTAGGTGCATCTTTTTTGGTTTGTTTTTTAGAATATTCAGTGAATATGCTGGCTTGGCCAAAAAGTTCTTTCGGGTATTTTCCGTAAGATGTTACAAAAGTATACAACAAGCAGGGAAAATAATCTATCGTTCTGTCTCCAGGGACAAACGTAATATTTTTGTTATCATGTTATGGCAACTCCTTTGTTTTTGTGCTAAGATTTTTTTTTTTTTTTTTTACATGGATGAGGTTATTCTGGACACATAATTTTCTGTTCTGAGATGACTACATCACATGCACCGTCCTGTTTCCTTAAGAACTTTCCGTAAACTTCGTCTGTGGTTACTTTGTAACATTTCCTCTGCTGGCTGCACTGTAGTGTGCTTAGCTATTCCCTGTTGGTGGGAACTTAGGAATCTTGGGGGGTGTTTTCTGTATTCTCTACGGTGCTGAAGTGGACGGTTGAACAGATGATAGACTTTTCTTCTTTTTTGTTCTCTGGGGGGTTAGATAAGGACCTAGAGGCCTTCTCTTGCCTCCATTTGTCCAGAGTAACCATAGCTATTCTGTGTATTCATTCATTACTCACGTATTATTGACAGACCTTTTTACTGAACGCTTGGGGACTGTTGCCCAGGGGCTGGCATTGCGTGTGCCTTAGTGAACTCGTATAGAACAGGAAGTTTGGCGACGCTGGCTAACATTACTGGCTTCTCACCCAGCAGAAAAGGCAACTCTTCCCAAGACCACCGAGGACGATGAAGAGCTGCTCAGGATGGAAGATCTTGACACAGTACAGTAAGGGTGGCCCTGTGTTATTTTGGGGTGTGGGAGTGGAACCCCCTCTTGTACTTGCCCCACAGATTCTCACCCAGAGTCGTGTCGATTTTTGGTAACTTCAGTTACGTTCGATCTCACGCAATCCAGCTGAGATGAACGGAACGGAGAGAGGCATGCTGTGCCTTTGAGCGTGTGTTGTGTGTCGGGCCCCATGCTTTTGCGTGCGTTACTGTATCTCATTTAATCCTCAGTGTTATCACCCTGAGGGGTGGTATTACCACCTCCATTTTCTCCATAAAGTGACCGAGAGGTTACGTGATTTTTACAAAGTTATAAATCTAGAATTCTTGGTCATCTTGAGAGTGTTGGTAATGCCAGATCCCAAGCCACACCTTCAGATGACTGAGTCCACAGCCTTTCCTGTTGGAAGTGTGGTTGCTCTTGGGGCCTCCTGTAGCCTAATGAGGGTCCAGCAAAGGAGGCTTCTCAGATGCTGTGGGGACTCAGGGAGAATGGAGGCCCAGCTGGTGGCTTGATGGGATAGGATGGGAAGAACCAGAGAACAAGTCATTTTTTTCAAGAATTTTATTGAATTATAGTTGATTTACAATGTTGTGCTAATTTCTTCTGTACAGCAACGTGACTCAGAACATGTTTTAAAGTGTTGATTAAAAAAATTTTTTGCAGGAATTTACAGATTAATTTGGGGAGAATTGACTCCCCCCCCAGAATATATATATATATATATATATATTTTTAACATCTTTATTGGAATATAATTGCTTTATAATGGTGTTTTAGTTTCTGCTTTATAACAAAGTGAATCAGTTATACATATACATATATCCCCATATCTCTTCCCTCTTGCGTCTCCCTCCCTCCAACCCTCCCTATCCCACCCCTCTAGGTGGTCACAAAGCACCGAGCTGATCTCCCTGTGCAATGTGGCTGCTTCCCACTAGCTATCTATTTTACGTTTGGTAGTGTATATATGTCCATGCCACTCTCTCACTTGGTCCCAGCTTCCCCTTCCCCCTCTCTGTGTCCTCAAGTCCATTCTCTAGTAGGTCTGTGTCTTTATTCCCGTCCTGCCCCTAGGTTCTTCATAAACATTTTTTTTTTTAGATTCCATATATATGTTAGCATATGGTATTTGTTTTTCTCTTTCCGACTCACTTCACTCTGTATGACAGAATCCAGGTCCATCCACCTCATTACAAATAACTCAATTTCGTTTCTTTTTATGGCTGAGTAATATTCCATTGTATATATGTGCCACATCCTCTTCATCCATTCGTCTGTCGATGGACACTTAGGTTGCTTCCATGTCCTGGCTATTGTAAATAGTGCTGCAATGAACACTGTAGTACATAACTCTTTTTGTGTTTTTGTTTTTTGGTTTTTTTTTTGCAGTACACGGGCCTCTCACTGTTGTGGCCTCTCCCGTTGTGGAGCACAGGCTCTGGACGCACAGGCTCAGTGAACATGGCTTACGGGCCCAGCCGCTCCGTGGCATGTGGGATCCTCCCGGACCGGGGCACAAACCCGCGTCCCCTGCATTGGCAGGCAGACTCTCAACCACTGCGCCACCAGGGAAGCCCCTTTGTTTTGTTTTTAATGTCTGTGTGGATAGTGATAATAATCCAATAGTATTATTATCATCAACAACAGATTTTTAAAAATTTTTGAATTTTATTTTATTTAATTAATTAATTAATTTTTTGCGGTATGCGGGCCACTCACTATTGTGGCCTCTCCTGTTGCGGAGCACATCCTCCAGGTGCGCAGGCTCAGCGGCTGTGGCTCACGGGCCCAGCCGCTCCGTGGCATGTGGGATCCTCCCGGACCGGGGCACGAACCCGTGTCCCCTGAATCGGCAGGTGGACTCTCAACCACTGCGCCACCAGGGAAGCCCTATTTTATTTTTTTATACAGCAGGTTCTTATTAGTCATCAGTTTTATACACACCAGTGTATACATGTCAATCCCAATCGTCCAATTCATCACACCACCCCCCAGCCCCCGCCGCTTTCCCCCATTGGTGTCCATACGTTTGTTCTCTACATCTGTGTCTCAATTTCTGCCCTGCAAACTGGTTCATCTGTACCATTTTTCTAGGTTCCACATATACGCATTAATATACGATATTTGTTTTTCTCTTTCTGACTTACTTCACTCTGTATGACAATCTCTAGATCCATCCACATCTCAAAATATGACCCAATATCATTCCTTTTTATGGCTGAGTAATATTCCATTGTATATATGTACCACATCTACTTTATCCATTCGTCTATCGGTGGGCATTTAGGTTGCTTCCATGACCTGGCTATTGTAAACAGTGCTGCAGTGAACATTGGGGTGCATGGGTCTTTTTCAATTATGGTTTTCTATGGGTATCTGCCCAGTAGTGGGATTGCTGGATCGTATGGTAATTCTATTTTTAGTTTTATAAGGAACCTCCATACTGTTCTCCATAGTGGCTGTATCAATTTACATTCCCACCAACAGTGCAAGAGGGTTCCCTTTTCTCCACACCCTGTCCAGCATTTGTGGTTTGTACATTTTCTGATGATGCCCATTCTAACTGGTGTGAGGTGATACCTCATTGTAGTTTTGATTTGCATTTCTCTAATAATTAGTGATGTTGAGCAGCTTTTCGTGTGATTCTGTATGTCTTCTTTGGAGAAATGTCTGTTTAGGTCTTCTGCCCATTTTTGGATTAGGTTGTTTGTTTCTTTAATATTGAGCTGAATTAGCTGTTTATATATTTTAGAGATTAATCGTTTGTCCATTGACTTGTTTGCAAATAGTTTTTCCCATTCTGAGCGTTGTCTTTTCGTCTTGTTTGTAGTTTCCTTTGCTGTGCAAATACTTTGAAGTTTCATTAGGTCCCATTTGTTTATTTTTGTTTTTATTTCCATTACTCTAGGAGGTGGATCAAAAAAGATCTTGCTGTGATTTATGTCAAAGAGTGTTCTTCCTTTGTTTTCCTCAAAGAGTTTTATAGTGTTCGGTCTTACATTTAGGTTTTGAATCCATTTGGAGTTTATTTTTGTGTATGGTGTTAGGGAGTGTTCTAATTTCATTCTTTTACATCTAGCTGTCCAGATTTCCCAGCACTGCTTATTGAAGAGACTGTCTTTTCTCCATTGTATATCCTTGCCTCCTTTGTCATAGATTAGTTGACCATAGGTGTGTGGGTTTATCTCTGGGCTTTCTATCTTGTTCCATTGGTCTGTGTTTCTGTTTTTGTGCCAGTACCATATTGTCTTGATTACTGTAGCTTTGTAGTATAGTCTGAAGTCAGGGAGTCTGATTCCTCCAGCTCCATTTTTTTCCCTCAAGACTGCTTTGGCTCTTCAGGGTCTTTTGTGTCTCCATACAAATTTTAAGATGATTTGTTCTAGTTCCGTAAAAAATGCCATTGGTAATTTGATAGGGATTGCATTGAATCTGTAGATTGCTTTGGGTAGTATAGTCATTTTCACAATATTGATTCTTCCAATCCAAGAACATGGTATATCTCTTCATCTGTTGGTATCACCTTTAATTTCTTTCATCAGTGTCTTATAGTTTTCTGCATACAGGTCTTTTGTCTCCCTAGGTAGGTTTATTCCTAGGTATTTTATTCTTTTAGTTGCAATGGTAAATGGGACTGTTTCCATAATTTCTCTTTCAGATTTTTCATCATTAGTGTATAGGAATGCAAGAGATTTCTGTGCATTAATTTTGTATCCTGCCACTTTACCAAATTCATTGATTAGCTCTAGTAGTTTTCTGGTGGCATTTCTAGGATTCTCTATGTATAGTATCATGTCATCTGCAAGCAGTGACAGTTTTACTTCTTCTTTTCCAATTTGTATTCCTCTTATTTCTTTTTCTTTGATTGCCATGGCTAAGACTTCCAAAACTATGTTGAATAATAGTGGTGAGAGTGGACATCCTTGTCTTGTTTCTGATCTTAGAGGAAATGTTTTCAGTTTTTCACCATTAAGAATGATGTTTGCTGTGGGTTTGTTGTATACGGCCTTTATTATGTTGATGTAGGTTCCCTCTATGCCCACTTTCTGGAGAGTTTTTATCATAAATGGGTGTTGAATTTTGTCAAAAGCTTTTTCTGCATCTATTGAGATGATCATGTGGTTTTTATTCTTCAGTTTGTTAATATGGTGTATCACATTGATTGATTTGCATATATTGAAGAATCCTTGCATCCCTGAGATAAATCCCACTTGATCATGGTGTATGATCCTTTTAATGTGTTGTTGGATTCTGTTTGCTAGTATTTTGTTGAGGGTTTTTGCATCTATATTCATCAGTGATATTGGTCTGTAATTTTCTTGTTTTGTAGTGTCTCTGTCTGGTTTTAGTATCAGGGTGATGGTGGCCTCATAGAATGAGTTTGGGAGTGTTCCTTCCTCTGTAATTTTTTGGAAGAGTTTGAGAAGGATGAGTGTTAGCTCTTCTCTAAATGTTTGATAGAATTCACCTGTGAAGCCATCTGGTCCTGGACTTTTGTTTGTTGGAAGATTTTAAATCACAGTTTCAATTTCATTACTTGTGATTGGTCTGTTCATATTTTCTGTTTCTTCCTGGATCAATCTTGGAAGGTTATCCCTTTCTAAGAATTTGTCCATTTCTTCCAGGTTGTCCATTTTCTTGGCATAGAGTTGCTTGTAGTAGTCTCTTAGGATGCTTTGTATTTCTGCAGTGTCTGTTGTAACTTCTCCTTTTTCATTTCTAATTTTATTGATTTGAGTCCTCTCCCTCTTTTTCTTGATGAATCTGGCTAATGGTTTATCAATTTTGTTTATCCTCTCAAAGAACCAGCTTTTAGTTTTATTGATCTTTGCTATTGTTTCATTTCTATTTCATTTATTTCTGCTCTGGTCTTTATGATTTCTTTCCTTCTGCTAACTTTGGGTTTTGTTTGTTCTTCTTTCTCTAGTTCCTTTAGGTGTAAGGTTAGATTGTTTACTTGAGATGTTTCTTGTTTCTTGAGATAGGCTTTTATAGCTATAAACTTCCTTCTTAGAACTGCTTTTGCTGCATTCCGTAGGTTTTGGATCGTCGTGTTTTCATTGTTATTTGTCTCTCGGTATTTTTTTATTTCCTCTTTGATTTCCTCAGTGATCTCTTGGTTATTTAATAACGTATTGTTTAGCCTCCATGTGTTTGTGTTTTTTACGGTATTTTCCCCTGTAATTCATTTATAATCTCATAGTGTTGTGGTCAGAAAAGATGCTTGATATAATTTCAATTTTCTTAAATTTCCTGTGGCTGGATTTGTGACCCAAGATGTGATCTATGCTGGAGAATGTTCCGTGCGCACTGGAGAAGAAAGTGTAATCCGCTGTTTTTGGATGGAATGTCCTATAAATATCAGTTAAATCTGTCTGGTCTGTTGTGTCATTTAAAGCTTCTGTTTCCTTATTTATTTTCACTTCGGATGATCTGTCCATTGGTGTAAGTGAGGTGTTAAAGTCCCCTACTATTATTGTGTTACTGTCGATTTCCTCTTTTATAGCTGTTAGCAGTTGCCTTATGTATTGGGGTGCTCCTATGTTGGGTGCATATATGTTTATAATTGTTATATGTTCTTCTTGGATTGATCCTTTGATCATTATGTAGTGTCCTTCCTTGTCTCTTGTAACATTCTTTATTTTAAAGTCTATTTTATCTGATGTAAGTATACTTTCTTTTGATTTCCATTTGCATGGAATATCTTTTTCCATCCCCTCACTTTCAGTCTGTATGTGTCCCTAGGTCTGAAGTGGGTCTCTTGTAGACAGCATATATATGGGTCTTGTTTTTGTATCCATTCAGCAAGCCTGTGTGTTTTGTTTGGAGCATTTAATCCATTCACGTTTAAGGTAATTATCGATATGTATGTTCCTATGACCATTTTTTAAATTGTTTTGGGTTTGTTTTTGTAGGTCCTTTTCTTCTCTTGTGTTTCCTATTTAGAGAAGTTCCTTTAGCATTTGGAGCTGGTTTGGTGGTGCTGAATTCTCTGAGCTTCTGCTTGTAAAGCTTTTGATTTCTCCCTCGAATCTGAATGAGATCCTTGCCGGGTAGAGTAATCCTGGTTGTAGGTTCTTCGCTTTCATCACTTTAAGTATATCATGCCACTCCCTTCTGGCTTGTAGAGTTTCTGCTGAGAAATCAGCTGTTAACCTTGTGGGAGTTCCCTTGTATGTTATTTGTTGTTTTTCCCTTGCTGCTTTCAGTAATTTTTCTTTGTCTTTAATTTTTGCCAGTTTGATTACTATGTGTCTCGGCATGTTTCTCCTTGGGTTTATCCTATATGGGACCCTCTGTGCTTCCTGGACTTGGGTGACTATTTCCTTTCCCATGTTAGGGAAGTTTTCGACTATAATCTCTTCAAATATTTTCTCTGGTCCTTTCTCTCTCTCTCCTTCTTCTGGGACCCTTATAATGCGAATGTTGTTGCATTTAATGTTGTCCCAGAGGTCTCTTAGGCTGTCTTCATTTCTTTTCATTCCTTTTTCTTTAGTTTGTTCTGCAGCAGTGAATTTCACTATTCTGTCTTCCAGGTCACTTATCCATTCTTCTGCCACACTTATTCTGCTGTTGATTCCTTCTAGTGTAGTTTTCATTTCAGTTTTTGTATTGTTCAGCTCTGTTTGTTTGTTCTTTAATGCTTCTAGGTCTTTGTTCAACATTTCTTGCATCTTCTCGATCTCTGCCTCCATTCTCTTTCTGAGGTCCTGGATCATCTTCACTATCATGATTCTGAATTCTTTTTCTGGAAGGTTGCCTATCTCCACTTCATTTAGTTGTTTTTCTGGGGTTTTATCTTGTTCCTTCATGTGGTACATAGCCCTCTGCCTTTTCATCTTGTCTGTCTTTCTGTGAATGTGGTTTTTGTTCCACAGGCTGCAGGATTGTAGTTCTTCTTGCTTCTGCTGTCAGCCCTCTGGTGGATCAGGCTATCTAAGAGGCTTGTGCAAGTTTCCTGATCGGAGGGACTGGTACATGACTCTTTTTGACTTGTGGTTTTCTCAGGGTAGTGAATTGACATTTTTACATTTCGTAGTTCTCCCATCCATGATCATGGTGTATCTTTTCACCTAATTCAGCTCCTCCTTTAGGACTTTTAATAGGGTTGATTTTTTTTCTTCCTATAGTTGTTGTGGATAATTCCTGTAAAAGAATTCCTAAATATTTTAGAGTTTCAGTTGCTTTTTATAAAATATATTGTTTTTTCCATCATACATGATAATGCAAGTTTGTCGGCAGACTGGCAGCCTCAGCATGACTGGGAGCTTGTTAGAAATGGGAATCTTAGGGACACCCCAGGCTTGCTGAACCACAATCTGCATTTTATTCAGTGATTCATATGCATGTTGAAATTTGAGAAGCCGTGGGTTAGAGGAATGCAGTGTTATATTTTTAAAAGTCTGCTTACATGCAGTCCAGTAAATAGATTACTAGATCTGGTCCCTGATTTTTCTCACTTTCATTTATTTTTCTCTTTGTGAATTTTCTAGATGTGGTACTTCAAGACCAGTTATTGCTTTGGGAGGGGCAACCACGACAGAAATGGAGGAGTTAATTGAGAGGCCGTCATTTAGCAGCTTAACAAACTTGTTGGAAAAGCAAACATTTCAAAGTAAGTTAGGATGGCACTTTGGAAACTTATAGTATAAGTAGACCTGGAAAAGAATTATGAAATATTTCAAATTCAGGATACTTCAATAAGATTCAAATATTATTCAAAAGTAAAAACTACTACATGCAATTTTAACTTACCCGGTCCATCTCACCTCATCCATCCATCCATCCTATCCCATGCCATCCCATGCCATCCAATGCCATCCCATGCCATCCCATCCCATCCTTTCCCATCCCATGCCATCCCATGCCATCCCATGCCATGCCATGCCATCCCATCCCATCCTTTCCCACTCTACCAATATTTCTGTGCTCCTGGTCCATGGTGTTGTGTGTATGGGAAACATGAAAATCTCTAATATTGACCAGAGACTTCCAGATAAATAATTACACTTCTATGTGATAGATGCTGTGTAGGGTGGGTATGTGGGATGTGGGGGTGGAGAGACTCTCTTTGGAAGATGAGAAGCCATTTGCTTCTTACGGTGGAATGAGGGAAATGGCACTCCTGAAAGCAGGTGATCTGAGTGTCTGACTCCCAGCAAGGACCCTCGGGTCCCTGAATCTATCTCCTCGTTCTTGGCCTAGAGCTCCTCAGCAGTGTTTCAGCAAGCGGTTGTGTTTCCAGTATGAGGTGGAAAATTCTAGAGCCGGGGCACTTGCTTCCCGTTTCCCATTCATTGAGCTGTAACTGCTGCAAATCGTTTCCTTAACCCTCAGTCAGTCTGCTTTTCCTGGTTCTAGTTCAACCCTGAAGTTTCTGGAGTCAGGCTCCTCACTGGTCGTGGGAGATGTAGGGGAGTAATGTCAGTCCTGTTTTTCAGGCCCTAAAAGACTAGGAACACCTTGCATCTCCTTCCGAGTTTTCTCTTTCCAGGTTAAGCCTCAGTGCTTTTTAATGTCCTTTAAGCATTTTAATGAGGTTTTCAAGCCATGCTTTTTCTTTTGAAGTAGAGAAAAGTACACAGAAAAATGTACAACGATGTACCCACAATTTAGCTATTAATATTTTGCCATATTTCCTTTATTTCTTTCTTGTTCCTTTTTTCTTTTCTTTCTTTCTTTTCTGGTTTTTTTTTAAAGAAGTAAGAGGCTACAGATAAAGTTTACACGCCCTTGGCTTCCCGTGCTTTTGAGAAGCGTACAGCCACCCTCGCCTAGAAATCGGTGTAACCCCCCCTGCCCCCCTCTTTCTCACACATTCACACAACATTGTAGTGATTTTTTCTTTCTTTTTCTCTTGCGGTATGCGGACCTCTCACCGTTGTGGCCTCTCCCATTGCGGAGCATAGGCTCCAGATGCGCAGGCTCAGCGGCCATGGCTCACGGGCCCAGCCGCTCCGCGGCATGTGGGATCTTTCCGGACCGGGGCACGAACCCGTGTCCCCTGCATCGGCAGGCGGACTCTCAACCACTGCGCCACCAGGGAAGCCCTGCAGTGATTTTTGGTTTCGTGAGTTACAGAAATGACTTCACGCATGCGTGTTTAACAGCAGCTTGCTCTTTCTCTCGACTTTATTTCTGAGATTTATTGGTGTCAGTACATCTCAGTTCAGCCCCTTCTTCTACCTTCTGTAAAGTGCCCTGTTGGGTAGTGCCCCCTTCATCCTTGCAGGCCCCACTGAGGGATGTTTGAATAGTCAACAGTTTCCTGCTCTTACCAGGAACCGTCCTTGCGCGGGGCTCCAGCGCACGCGTTGGAGGGTGTAGGTTGCATGCCCGGCGGGGTAACGGGCGTAGGAAGCTGTGACCGCTCAGGGTATGCTGCCGGTTTAGGGTCCCGGTTGTACTTCTTTGCCCTCCTGACAGCAGCCCTGAGAATTCCCGCTTCTCAACATCACCCTTGCATAGTCAGGGGCCCACTTCCTGATTATTGGGATTGAGAGTATCTAGAATGCTTATCTGGTCAGCACTTAGGTCATTTGCCTATTCCCATTTCTTCACTTATGTCGTTCTGTTGTGTTTAAATTTTTTTTCTTGTTGATCCCCAAGCCTTTCTTTTTTTAAGGTCTTTTGAATAACTCTGCGTAGTTTCATACACTGTAAACATCACAGGCTGGGGTCTGTATCTTACCCTTTCCCTTCATGTAGGGTGTCTTGTTGTATACCCCGGGTATTCACCTCTTCCCGTCCAGTTTGTACTTTGGGTAACACTTAAGAGACCCTTCCTCAAACAGATGGCAGTCTAGTCTCCCAAATATTCTTCTAATGATTTTGAAGTTTTTGTTTTCCACCTTCAGTCTGCAACTCATTTTGCATACGGAATGAGGTGCCCTATAATTTCATTTGCCTCCAGATGGATAGTCAGTTTCATTGATGGACTGGTCCATCTTTTCCCACTGATTTGAAATGCCACCTCTGGCCTCTGTTAAGTCTCCCTATGTGTGTGGCTCTATTTCTGGGCTTGCCTGCAATGGTCTGTTCCATTGGTCTCTCTGTCACAGAACCTATATAGCTCATGGTTTTAGTTACCCACACTTATGTGTTTTATCATCTCCTTTTTCTTCTTGATCTAAGCTGGGTGCTGAGATGAGCATCTTATGTGCCTTTGCCCAGTGACTCTTCTCGATGCCCTGAGGAGGCAGGTGCTGCCCCCATTCGACAGACGGGGGCGTCGAGGCTCAGAATGGTTAAGGTGCTTTCCCTGCAGGAGGGAGAGAGCTGATTCTAGAACTTTGGTGGTTCAGCTTCAAAGCCCAACCCTCAGCGCTGCGCTGAGGTTATAAGCCGACGGAGAGGAGAACTTGGGTATTGTGTGGTGCTGGTGTCGTCACAGCTGGCTCTGGGTAGTGGCGAGTTGGGGGATCAGGACCCCGTAATTTCTTGCTGCGTGTAACCGACGACTGCTGTCCGCATTGGGATGCATCTCCCGGTTGCTGGGATAGACGAGGAGCACAGAATCTGCCTCCAGGGAGCCCCCAGAGTCTTCCGCATCCGTGCCGCGTGAAGCAGCCACGTACAGCCTCTGGGACAGGAGCTCCTCTTAACGTTTATTCCCTTCCTCTGATTTCACAGTTAAACGGAAAGAATCAGACGCGAGGAGGAAAAGCCAGAGGAGGAGGGAGAAATCTCGCGTGGAGACAGACTCCAGGCTGGCAGGCCACGGGAAGCAGGGCACGTTCGCCATGCAGCTGGCGGTGATGCCGCTCCTCGCAGGTAGCCACACCCGTTCCCAGCAGCGTCCGGTCTCCTTGACCCGTGTGGCCAGAATGCCGGTAAACAGGACACTCGCGGTGACCGGGACCCTGCGCTACGCTCTCAGCCACCCCCGCCAAGTGGGCGTGTCTCCGCTATACAGAGCGGGAAATGGAGGCGCAGCGAGGTCAAACGCGTCGGCCAAGATGACGCAGCGAGTAAGAGAAGCCTGGGTTTGAACCCAGGTCTGATTCCAAAGTCCAAGCAAACGTGAGAATAAAAAACGTCATGGGCTTCCCTGGTGGCGCAGTGGTTGAGAGTCCGCCTGCCGATGCAGGAGACACGGGTTCATGCCCCGGTCCGGAAAGATCCCACATGCCGCGGAGTGGCTGGGCCCGTGAGCCATGGCCGCTGAGCCTGCGCGTCCGGAGCCTGTGCTCCGCAACGGGAGAGGCCACAACAGTGAGAGGCCCACGTACCGCAAAAAAAAAAAAAAAAAAGAAACGTCATGGTTTTGTTTGCTACATAAGATGCTACTTGGTATAAACACATTCCTGCAGATTTTTACAAAGACGTCTAGTAAAGGAAATGAGGAAAGGCGACCAGTATTTATGCCCTATCATTTACTTCTCACGGCCAACTCTGATCTTCCCAGTGAACTGGTGCTGGTGGTATAGGGCGTGGTTATCATTGTCACGATTTTTTCAGGGAGGAATCAAAACTCAGAGAAGTGAAGCAGCTAAACCTGAAGGCACACAGCTCAGTGGCAGAACAGGGGTTTGCTTCATTTGCTTTGCAAGATCTGTCACCGTTTATAAACTCAGTTTGATAAAGAATAAGTAGGTATTTATTATGTCCATATGTTTAGATAATGGAAGGCTCAGAATATATTTTGGGTAAAATTATGTGACTTTATTTTAAAAAGGGAATATGGGGGGAACCCTCTTCTTTTTAGAGAAAATAATTTCACACGTTTCATTGTGGGGTTTTTGGCCATCAGGGTGAACGAGTGCCCCCTTCTGGCCTATCTGGAGAAACTTAGGCAGACGCGGAGGGTCAGTGAAACCCCATAGGGTCAGAGTCCAGTGCCGGGGGTGCCGGCAAAATCCTTATTTCCACAAGCGCTTGGGTTGATGTCGATATGTTTTGAGGAACTATTAAGTTTTTTGTTCTCACGTTTAGATGGATTTTTGAAAATTAGTTTCACCCAAAGTGAGTTTTCAGAGACTCTTACCCACTGCTGAGCCGTGTCCAGGAGGACCGGGCCTTTCACGCAGCGGCCACGTGGCCCCGCCTGGGGCAGTGACTTTGGTTCATGCTTCTTTGATCTTGAATGCAGAAGCAACCGGTGCTGCTCCAGGTGGGTGGGGCCCGGGGGACCTGCCTGACCTGCTCCTTACTTTGCTGTGAGGGTAGGGAGATGCTGAATGGTCCTGGTGTGCCCGGTGTGACCATTTCCAGCAGGTGAAGCCAAGAGGTGCCTGGGCCTCCCCCCCGTTTAACTTGTGCCGCCATGGCCCTGTACAGTGACAGTTATTGCAAGAGTGACAAACAGACTTTGAATCCTGGCTCAGCCCTTTACCAGCAGGTCGCCTGCTTTCTGTGAGTCTCAGTTTCCTCATCTGTAAAATGGGGACAGTAGCTCCCACCCCAGGGGGCTGTAGGAAGGATCACGAGAGATAATGTGTGTAAACAGCTTGGTGGGGAGCCCTGCGCACAGCAGAGCTCAGGCAGGTTCCTGGTGAGGAGGTGGCAGCTGCCTCGCCCGGACATCAGGGTGGGCTGCGTGTAGGGCCCTGGGCCCCCGGCAAGGGGGACAGAAAGATCCCTGCTCCCTGGCGCCGAGGCCATGGCTCGTGGTCATGACTGCAAGTGGCCGTGGTGCAGCAGGCCAATTGTAGGTTTCTTTTTGCCATAAAATAGAATAGCATAAGATTATTCCCAAACTAGAATGATTATTTTTAGTCATCTTCAATTGAATTTTTTTTAATAACTTATTTTACTGTATTTATTTTTGGCTGCTTTGGGTCTCCGTTGCTGCACGCGGGCTTTCTCTAGTTGCGGCGAGTGGGGGCTACTCTTCGTTGCAGTGCGCGGGCTTCTCATTGCGATGGCTTCTCTTGTTGCAGAGCACGGGCTCTAGGCGTGCGGGCTTCAGTAGTTGCGGCACGTGGGTTCAGTAGTTGTGGCTCGCGGGCTCTAGAGCGCAGGCTCAGTAGTTGTGATGCTCGGGCTTCGTTGCTCCGTGGCATGTGGGATCTTCCTGGACCAGGGCTCGAACCCTTGTCTCCTGCATTGGCGGGCGGATTCTCAACCACTGCGCCGCCAGGGAAGCCCCATCTTCAATTTAAGATTAGACCACAGACTTTGCATACCTTAGTGGTAAATATTGTCGGCCAGTAAGTGTCTAGAAAGGTTCTGTGTTTGGAGTGAACTCTTATGTTTACTGCACAGAGGAGGGGCCGCACTTTTAGCCACGCAGGACTTGTTTTGACACTGGTTCTGCTGCTTATTGGCCAAGAGTCCTTGGATGATCACTTGACATCCCTGGACCTATCATGTTCAAGTCCGGCAGCTGTAGGTGCACAGAGAGTCCTTGGATGATCACTTGACATCCCTGGACCTATCATGTTCAAGTCCGGCAGCTGTAGGTGCACAGACCTTGTGGTGGCCACTCGCCCTTGCCTTGTTCCTTACGTGGGACAGTGGTTCTCACCTTGGGCACTTATGCCCCCAGGGATACTTGGCACTCTGTGAGGCATCTTTGGGTGTCACAAGTGGGAGTGGGACACTGCTGAATGTCCCACGATGCACGGGATAGTCCTCATGGCGAATAATTATCAGTCCTCAAGTGTCACTAGTGCTGAGGTTGAGATCCCTGCCCTGGATCATGGCTGACATCACCTGAGATTTCTGAATGTTGATATGAGTAGGTGTTTGCACTAGAGAGTCTTTCTAAACTGGGCAATCTTCTATGAAAAGGCTTGCAAAGTTCTAGAACACAAATCGGAATTGGCTATGGTCTTAATGAGTTGGTTTTGAAGAGAGTCACAGGGGGAAGTGGGGGGTCCCCAGGAGACGCCCACGGCCCAGGCAGACAGTGTACACCTCGGGCCCAGGACTTGTTCTGGAAGCAACTGCTCTTTCTGAGTGTGAGTGATGGGGCTCTCACATGCCCTAAAAATATATTTACCAGCATCATGAAAGAAATAGAATTGGTCTTTTTGAGCACAGACCCTGTGCTAGGAGGGGCAGTGTTCCTGACACCTTCCCATACATAATCCCTCTTCATCCTCTTAACCCTAAGAAAAGTGGTATTTCTGTCCAATTTGCACATGACAAAATCGAGCCTCAAAGAGCCTCTAACTTGTTGTAGGTCACATGATGCCTAACAGTCGGATTTAGGGCTTGAAAAATCTGCTTGCAAATCTGGAGCTTTGCTTTTTTTTTTTTTGGCCTTCACCAGTGTCTCTCCACCTGGTGAAATGTATGGGCCCCTTTTGCGAGAAAAGTATTCTCACAGCTGCCCATGTGCCCTGCAGTGGTCAAGTCACCCACCCTTTTCTGCAGTTGCACTGTTGCACAACTGTCACAGCAGGAGGTGTTCCAGGCTGGATTTGGCCCAAATGTACCACTTGTGTTCTATGTCCGTACCTACACTTCCCTCCCTGGATTACAACGGTGAAAGTGACGCCGCTGGGCACCAAACACAGACACTGGTGTTATTTGTTCCTGAATGTGTTCTACTCTAAGAGAACTGCCTGGAGAAGTGCTCCAGAACTTTCTGCAGTGAAGGACTTGTTCCATGTCTGCTCATAGCCACACATGGCTGCTGAGCGTGTGACGTGGGACTCATGTGATGAAGGAAGTGCCTTTTAATTAATTAATTAATTTATTTATTGGCCATGCTGTGCAGCATGTGGGATCTTAGTTCCCCGACCAGGGGTTGAACCTGTGCCCCCTGCATTGGAAGCGTGGAGTCTTAAGCACTGGACCAACAGAGAAGTCTGAAGGAAGTGCATTTTAAATTATATTTAATTTTAATTAATTTAAACATAAATATCCACATATGGCCAGTAACTATGGGACTCGCAGCGCAAGTCTGGTGGTTCTAGAATTACCTGGAGAGATTTTAAAAATCCCAGTGCGGAGGCTACAGCCCAGACCAAGCCCGTGAGACTGGGGGTGGGACCCAAGCGTCATTGTTCCTGATTGTAGCCTATAGATGATTCAGGAAATGCTTCTATCACAAGGTGATCATCAAGATTAAATGACAAAATGAAATTCTCTTAGAGAACCTATGGGACCCCAGTTGAAAAAGTGGTGCAGACATGCTGCCTGTAGGTGTTTCCCAATTATTATTTTTTTAAAGTTTTCCTCTTTTCGGTGTAATTTTATCTTTGGCTCTCAGGTTGCCTGATCCCTCCTGTGCTGGTCTCAGGGCCGTTCTGAATAACATTCTAACGCTGTGTGTATCTCCCTGCAGGATGGCAAACTGTCGTGAGTCATGGCAGTGGGAGGTCGGCCAATGTCTTAGATTGTCTTTTGACCCTAAAAACAGAAGTTCCCCTCATGACTGAAGAGCAAAAGCGGGACTTAAACCCCCTGACCATAGAGGTCAAGTGTGTTTCCTGCCTTCCATCACGGTCTGTTTCCTTCAGTGAACTAGAGGTAAGAGTGAACCAGGCCAGCTGGTTTGAGAGCTGCTTTTCCCAGCCATCTGCCCATCACCTGTCACCCCTCACCCGCAGTGGCCCTACATGAGAAGTATGATCATCAACTCCATTTCCTCTTTTAGGATCTCACAGCCAGAGAGCAAAGAGATTAGGTTCCTAGGGTCAGGAGTTACCAAGTGTGAGGTCTCCTCTGCTACACCACAGGGTTCTTCAGGTGCAGGTAGCGACCTTCCACTCAGGAGGATCCCTATGCTTCCTTGTTACAGCAGCGGTGCTCGCCTAATGCTCACTTATTTTGAACCAGCCAGTTTAGTGCTGCTGTTTACCTTGGGAGTCCCCTGTTCCTCTCCTGGTGGGTCCCTGTCCCTGGATTCTGTGTCTTGCTCTTGCTTTGTTTCCTCTTTGATTTTGCTGGAGCACATCCTCCTGTAGCTTCCTGAGAAGAAGTTAATGGGAGATACTTGTTTTATGATCTCTTATGTCTGAAAATATCCTTATTCTACCCTTATACTTGATTGATAGGGTATAGAATTCTAGGTTAAAAAATCATTTTCCTTCAGTTTTTAAAAATTTTTTATTGGAATATAGTTGATTTACAATGTTGTGTTAGTTTCAGGTACACAGTAAAGTGAATCAGTTATACATATACACATATCCACCCTTTTTACATTTTTTTCCTATATAGATAATTACAGAGTATTGAGTGGAATTCCCTGTGCTATACAGTAGCTCCTTGTTAGTTATCTATTTTATGTATAGTGGTGTGATCTCCCAATTCCAATCTCCCAATTTATCCCTCCCCCCTCTCCCCTGGTAACCATAAGTTTGTTTTCTACATCTGTGACTCTATTTCTGTTTTGTAAATAAGTTCATTTGTACCATTTTTTTAGATTCCACATATAAGCAATATTGTATGATATTTGTCCTTCTCTGTCTGACTTACTTCACTTAGGATAATTTCTAGGTCCATCCATGTTGCTGCAAATGGCATCATTTCATTCTGTTTAATGGCTGAGTAATATTCCATTGTGTATATGCACCACAACTTCTTTATCCACTCCTGGATAAGTTATTCATCCATCGATGGACAATTAGGTTTCTTCCATGTCCTAGCTGTTGTAAACAGAGCTGCAGTGAACATTGGGGTACATGTATCTTTTTTTATGTATATAAATTTATTTATTTATTTTTGGCTGCATTGGGTCTTTGTTGCTGCACGTGGGCTTTTCTCTAGTTGCGGCGAGCAGGGGCTATTCTTCATTGCGGTGCGCAGGCTTCTCATTGTGGCGGCATCTCTTGTTGCGGAGCATTGCGGAATATGGGCTCTAGGTGCATGGGCTTCAGTAGCTGTGGCACGCGGGCTTAGTAGTTGTGGCTCGCGGGCTCTAGAGCGCAGGCTCAGTAGTTGTGGCGCATGGGCTTGGTTGCTCCGTGGCATGTGAGATCTTCCTGGACCAGCGCTCAAACCCATGTCCCCTGCATTGGCAGGTGGATTCTTAACCACTTTGCCACCAGGGAAGCCCCATGTATCTTTTTGAATTATGGTTTTCTCCGGATATATGCCCAGTAGTGGGATTGCTGAGTCATATGGTAGCTTCATTTTTAGTTTTTTAAGGAACCTCCGTACTGTTCTCCATAGTGGCTGCACCAACTTATATTCCCCCCACCAGTGCAGGAGGGTTCCTTTTTCTCCACACCCTCTCCAGCATTTATTGTTTGCGGAGTTTTTTGATGATGGCCATTCTGACTGGTGTGAGGTGATACCTCATTGTATTTTTGATTTGCATTTCTCTGATAATTAGAGATGTTGAACATCTTTTCACATGCTTTTTGGCCATCTGTATGTATTCTTTAGAGAATTGTCTGTTTGGATCTTCTGTCCTTTTTTTTTTTTTTTTTTTTTGCGATACACGGGCCTCTCACTATTGTGGCCTCTCCCGTTGTGGAGCACAGGCTCCGGACGTGCAGGCTCAGTGGCCATGGCTCACAGGCCTAGCCACTCCGCCGCATGTGGGATCTTCCCGGACCGGGGCACGAACCCGTGTCCCCTGCATCGGCAGGCGGACTCTCAACCGCTGCGCCACCAGGGAAGCCCTCTTCTGTCCATTTTTTAATTGGGTTGTTTGTTTTTTTTGATATTGAGCTGCATGAGCTGTTTGTATATTTTGGAGATTAATCCTTTGTTGGTCTTTTCACTTGCAAATATTTTCCCCCATTCTGTGGGTTGTCTTTTTGTTTTGTTTTTGGTTCCCTTTGCTGTGCAAAAGCTTTTAAGTTTAATTAAGCTCCATTTGTTTATTTTTTGTTTTTATTTTCATTACTCTAGGAAGTGGATCCAAAAAGATATTGTTGCAATTTATGTCAGAGAGTGTTCTGCCTATGTTTTCCTCTAAGAGTTTAATAGTATCTGGTCTTACATTTAGGTCTTTAATCCATTTTGAGTTTATTTTTGTGTATGGTGTTAAGGAGTGTTCTAATTTCATTCTTTTACATGTAGTTGTCCAGTTTTTCCAGCACCACTTATTGAAGAGACTGTTTTTTCTCCATTTTATATCCTTGCCTCCTTTGTCACAGATTAGGTGACCATAGGTGCATGGGTTTATTTCTGGGCCTTCTATCCCGATCCATTGACATATATTTCTCTGTTTTTGTGCCAGTACCATACTGTTTTGATTACTGTAGCTTTGTAGTATAGTCTAAAGTCAGGGAGTGTGATTCCTCCAGCTCCGTTTTTCTTTCTCAGGATTGCTTTGGCTATTTGGGGTGTTTTGTGTTTTGATACCAATTTAAAATTTTTTTGTTCTAGTTCTTTAAAAATGCCATTGGTAATTTAATAGAGATTGTATTGAATCTAGATTGCCAAGGTGACTATCTATAAAAAGGTCTGCCTGAAAAGCTGGCCCTTGGCAGGTGTCTAGGAACTTGAATCATTCTCTAATGAGAGTGGTTCCTGGGCCTGACTGTTTCTGCCAACAGTGCTGACCATGCTTTCCTCCAGGGCGCCTGGCATATTGGGACACAGGCTGGGGGAGCCTAGTACCAGCCCCAATCAAAACCCTGGGTGCTGGGTCTCCAGTGAGCTCCCTGGTGGACAGTACGTCACCTGACTTGTCACAGGCAGTTGTGCAGGAGCTCAGTGCATCCTGGCGCACACAGTAGGAGGCCATGGGGAGATGGCGCCTGTCCCCCTGCTTTGCCTCGCAGCCCTTTTCCCTTTGCAGGCTTTGCCTGGTCTCCTCCGGCCTTTGTGAAGCCCAGCTGTGGGTCCGACCACAGCTGGGTCCTGAGGTTCTCCTAGAGAATCACGGATCTGGGGTGATTCACCCCGGGGCCGCCAACTCAGCAATGTTTTCCTGCTTTGCGGGGCGCCGTCCCTGTTTGTACAGTCCTTGTTTCCTCAAGTTGGTTTTTCTATTTGTTTGGTCTCCATCGTCACATCTGTCTTAATCCCCTGGTTTGCTGCTCATAGGTAAGAGTGGGGGCCTCAAAAGCAGCCTTGGGTGCCGAGCGGGCTTGTGGGTTCTGAGCCTCATGCTCTGGTGGCCTGGGTGGGCTGGTGGTGGGGAGACCTCAAGTTCGATCTCTGGAGGTCTCTCCCAGTTGCCCGCCTGGAGGGTAAGGGTCTGGTAGCCAAGGGATGAAAAGGACGTGGGGTCTGCATTGGATGGTCCGTGAGCATTTGGTCACCTAATACATCTGGTTTGGATAGGAGCTGAATGCCATCAGCTGTCCCTCATTCCAGAGACCCTCTGTTTTTTTAATTTTTAAAATAGCAAGCAGAAAAGTGAAAATATCCTACAGAATCGACTATTTTCTCCTGGTGCACAGTTCTGTAAATTTCAGTTCATGTGCACATCAGCATTCTCACCACCACAGTGAGGATACAGAACACCTCTATGGCCGCACCCCCAGACTCTTCTGTACTAGCCCTTTATGACCACATCTTCCCCACCCGCGCTCCCGGCTACCGCAGATGCGTTCGTCGTGATAGTTTTAACTTTTGAAGATTGTCGTCCAGATGGGGTTATATATTGTGTAACATCCACACTGAGAACGTCTGCTGCAGCAGGGAGCAACGCGTACAGCCTCCTTCCCTCAGAACGATGCCGGCGAGGTTCCCGCAAGCTGGAATTCACCCCTTTTCGCTGCTGACTCGTATTCTGCAGCTGGATGGAACCGCAGTCTGTCCGTCCATTAACCCATGGAGGATGTTTAGGTTGTTTCTGGTTTGGGGCAGTTACGAGCACAGCTGCTAAAACATCTGTGTACGTGCTTTTGTGTGAACATAAGCCTTCAGTGCTTTAGGATAAATTCCCGGGCTCTGTGGAGAGGCTATGGCTGCCTTCTCAGCAGTGGTGTGCGGGGGCTCCAGCTGTGCTTATCCTCCCCAGAACTTGGTATCGTGAGTGTTTTATTTTTAATTTTGGCCACTCTAATGAGTATGCAGTGTTATCTCATCGGGGTTTACCATGCGTTTCCCTGATGCAGAGTGATGTGGCGCATCTCTTAATCTGCTTATCTGCCACTTTATGGCCCCTTTGGTGAAGTGTCAATTCAAATTTTTGCCCACATTTCAACTGAGTTTTTTTTTTTATTTTATAAATTTATTTATTTTTGGCTGCATTGGGTTTTCGTTGCTGTGCGCGGGCTTTCTCTAGTTGCGGCGAGCGGGGACTACGCTTCGTTAGAGTGCGTGGGCTTCTCGTTGTGGTGGCATCTCTTGTTGCAGAGCATAGGCTTCAGTAGTTGTGGCTCATGGCTTCCAGAGTGCCGGTTCAGTAGTTGTGGCGCACGGGCTTAGTTGCTCCCCGGCATCTGGGATCTTCCCGGACCAGGGCCCGAACCCGTGTTCCCTGCATTGGCAGGCAGGTTCCGAACCACTGCGCCACCAGAGAAGTTTTCAACTGAGTACTTAGTTTTCCTGTTGTTGAGAGTTTTTTAATCTATTCTGGTTACAAGTCCTCTTTTGGAGATATTCTTTGCAGGTATTTTCTCCCAATGTGTAGTCTGCCTTTTTATTCTCTTATTTTAATTTTGATGAAGTCCAAATTATACATTTTTGTCTTCTATCGATTGTGTTTTTGTGTCACATCTAAGAACTCTTTGCCTAACGCCTGGTGACAAGGGTTTTCTTCTATGTTTATAGTTTTACATTTGGATCTATAATCAATTTTGAGTGAATATATGTATAAGGTTTAAGTTAATGTTCATTTTTTTTTGCAAACACATGACTGATTCTTCCAGCACCATTTGTAGAAAGTATGTTTTTTTCATTGAATTTCTTTTGCATTTCTGACAGAAATCAGTTGGCTATACTGGTAGAGGTCTATTTCTGGATCCTTTATTCTTCCTTTTCAAAATTGTGTTAGCTCTTCCAGTTTCTTTGCCCTTTCATATAAATTTTAGAATCAGCTTGTCTCTATCTACAAAAACTTGTGCTAGGATTTTGCCTGGCTTTTCATTAAATCCATAGATCAGTCTGGGGAGAACTGACATCTTACTGTGTTGAGCCTTCCAACCCCTGAATTCAGTGTGCCTCTCCATTAGTTTAGGTCTCCTCTTTTCTCTCTCATCAGTGTTTTGAAGATCTCAGGACCCTTTATTCATTTGCCTGCACAGCAAGCTAACAGCCTCCCGCCAAGCAGTAGGGGAGGGGAGGGCACTTGGGCCGGCTGGCTTCTCAGGACTTGCAATGGTTCCCTTGCTGGGCTCTTCCCTGTGACCCCCGGATCCAGAGATGCTGGGTCCTGCCAGTTCCTAAGTCTTTTGAGGGTTTTGCAGAGAATGTGGCTGGTTCTCAGCTTCTCCATTACATGCTTGGGGTTTGGCTTCCTCACCTGTGCTGTGTCTGCACCACTTGCTCGTCCCTATCCCAGTGCTCATGGTGGCTTCTCTTCTCTTCTCCTTGTCCTTGTATGCTTATGTCTTAAAAAAAAAATCCCTGTGGTTTTAGGGGAGTTCTGTGAGGGGTGTAACCAGATGTATGTGTTCAGTCTGCCACTTGAACCGCATGACGTGATGTTTAGTTCATGTCCCCAGTGGGCTGAAGTCGCCTGCACAAGGGACCATGGTGTCAGCGTCCCCAGCGCCTAGCCCGGGGCCTGTTACAAACAGGAGCTCGGTGACCATCATTCAAGCATGAGAGCCAAGGAACAGGACATTTTGATACACTGTTTGTATCACAGTTCATCTCTTCAAAGAGGATTCCCCTCACTCAGATTTTCAGTTGCCTGCCCAGCTGCTGCCACTGCAAACAGATTACAGGTTGGGAACTTGAACTTGCCAGAGGGCAGGTCCAGGAGAGAAAAGCAATAGGGGGTTTCCTTCCACTTTGTCTGTCTCCTAGGGTTCCCACACCCCATTCCTTGGTACAGGAAGAGAGCTCTGTCTCTCCATGCCTGGTGCATAATTCTGGGATTCAGGCTTCCTTTGCGTCTAGTCTGGGACATGCAGGAAGAGAATAAAACCCAGGAAACTCACTGGGTTTGGTCTCTTTCTCCAATCTGCCCACTGCCTTTTACTTTTCAGAAGGTGTCCTGTGCATCTCTGTAGGGTTTTTTTTTCTTTAATATTTATTTATTTATTTAGGCTGCGCCAGATCTTAGTTGCAGCACATGGGACCTTTGTTGTGGCACGCACGCTCCTTAGTTGCGGCATGCGGACTCTTAGTTGAAGCGTGCCTTCTGTTGTATTCAGTGGGAGGTGCAGGGTGGGTGTGCTTATTCCGTTTAACCAGATTTGAAAGCTCCTCATTTATTTTTCTTTAGAATATCTATTCTTTTTATTGATATATTGTGGATACGAGTCCTTTGTCAGATAAGTATGCATTGTACGTATTTTCTGCCCATCTGGAGCTTGACTTTAATTTTCTTAATAGTGTCTTTGATGAAGTCCATCTTATCAACTTCTTCTGTTATGATTAGTGCTTTTTGTGTCATATCAAATAAATCTTTTTTCCACCCCAAGTTTATGAAGATACTACCCTGTGTTTTCTTCTCGGAGAGGTATGATTTTAGCTTTTATGTTTAGGTCTATGATTCCTCTAGAATTAATTGCATTTTCCTAACCATAAAAATGGTATATTTCTTCATTTAGATTTTCTTTGATTTCTCTCTGCGGTGTTTCGTAGTTTTCAGTGTACAGGTCTTCCACATCTTTCATTTCTTCCTAAGCATTTTATGTCTTGATGCTGTTGTAGGTGATATTTTAAAATTTTCAGTTTTAGAATTTTCATTGCCAGTAAATAGAATTATGATAGTTTTGATCTTGATGATATACTTTTACTTTTTAAAAACCAAACAAATACATTTATTTTATGTACCTGATCGTTCTAATACCTGTGCCTTTGTGCACCTGGTTTTGCTAGTGGTACCTTTTTCCCTTAGGTGTCTTGGGATTTTTACTATGATCCCATGTTTGATGGAGCTTTCTCTGTGGGAATTCTTTGAGGCCTAGGTTGGAAGTGCATTTCTCCAGAAGGTTTTCTTAATTAGTTCTGCCAGGTACCTGGGAGCCCTACCAACCCAGGATTATTTTTAAAAAAAATTTCAGCGTCGGTGGTAAAAGAAATAGTAAAATAAGTAGTGCCCTTGGAGTATATGCATTCGATCCACACACTTGTGTAACGGTGAGCTTCTGGTGATAAAGTTGTGGCATGCGCAAGGTTTCCTGCTTCTGTCCCGACACAGCCCTGCCCCCCGCCTCCAGCTCAGCCTGCGAGTCCTCTTAAACCCAGACCCAAGTTCTGCTTGGTCACTTTATATGCTAAAGGTGAGCCGTGCCAGCCCTCCAGATGCGTGTCTGGGAAACACGGATTCTCTGTTCTAAAAGCCACTCCTCTCCACACTTTCTGTGCCCGGCCATGGGATGGGAAGAAGGCACAGGGCCTGTCCTCGTGGCACTGGCCATCCGGGGGAAATAGTTGCTTCAGCTGCCAGCTCAGCGCCGTACACGTGGCTCTCGGGCCTCGCAGTGGCCTTGCAGAGTGGGCTCTGCCCTTGGGGTTTGTGAATGAGGAACCACAGGCCGCAGGGGCTGCAGGGGCTGCCGGGCGTGAGCCTGGGGCCGGGATTTGAGCCGCTGGGTGGGGGCCACCTGGAGAGGAGGGGGGCCGGCAGGGGGTGCCTGCGGCTGCACCCGTGACCGCCGCCCCTTCTCTCTCGCAGCGGCTGTGCACCCCCGTGTACTGCAGGTACCAGTTCCACAGGACCCCAGTGCACAGGACTGAGGGCCAGCCCCACGGGACCCACGTCTACTTCCAGGATATCAACGTCATCTTCCTTGGGGCCATGCACCCCAGCGACCTGAGGGAATACCTGGAGGGCCCCCCGATGGTGGTGGAAGTTCATGACCGGGACCGCAAGTCAGAGGGGTATTCCCGCAAGCCCGCCCTGTTTGGGGAGGACCCGCTGGATTCGTACCTCAACCTCCAGACCCTAATTTCCCCGAAAGAGACGGAGAACAACCCCTTTGAAACCCAGGATAAGATGTGGGACCCTTACGGGGTTGCCCAGGTCAGCTTTGCCGACCTCCTCCTTGGCCACAAGTACTTGAACCTGGTCGTCCCCGTCCACAGCTGCGAGCCCAAGGCCACGCGCCTCGGCCATGACAGCAGGAGCAGGAAGGCGTTGGGGTTGCAGGTGCCCGGAGACAGCCTGCGGCACGGCCCGATGCCCCCGGGCGACTACCTGGAGGCCAGCTGCCTGCTGAAGCTGCGGGCGGGCGTGGCGGTGCCGCTGCGGGCCGGGACCGAGGCCCTGGACGCCAACCCCACGGCCTCCCGGTTTGGCCGCGTCATCTTCGTGTTCACCTCCAGTAAGCCCTCACTCCTGCACGGCCTGCTGCAGGACGTCACCGTGATCAACGCCGGGGCCCTGGGCCTGGACTCCTGCCCCGTGGAGGACATCCAGCAGATCCTGTCCGCCTTGAAGATGCCGGCGAAGATCCAGGAGCGGCCGGACCTGGACGTGCTCACTGGCTTCCACCTGCTGGACGGGCGGGGCCACCTCCTCATCCTGGAGGGCTTGGCCGACCGGGGCCTGAGGCGGCTGTGGGAGAGCCACCAGAGCCGGTAGGTAGGTCGCCGCGTTTCTGGGTGGGGAGGGGTGGCCAAGCTCAGGTTCTGTGACGCCGACTGTGGGAGGGACCTGTTGATTCGGTGCCTCTCGGGGTTTGTATAAGGCACTTCGCAGAGCTCAGCAACTGGGAGAGCCGCTTGCCTTTGGTTGAAGCGAAGACTTCAGGGGTATATGGAAGGGAGGCTGGTTCAGGAAACTGGGTCCTGCCTTCACACTCCCGAGGCGCCCCCCCGGCCAGCGGGGAGTAGAGTGTTCTGCATGGCCCTGAGAGGGACACCACAAGGACACAGACGTCAGCTCGTCCCAAGGGAGACAGGGCGGATTATTGTGAGGCTGGAGGGCTGCTTACGCTGCAGAAGTCCCCTTCCCTGGAGGCCCAGGCGCCCCCGATGGCCGCCCCCTGGAGATGTTGCAGAGGCAACGGAAGTGTCCCCTTCTGGGCCGCAGCAGGTGGCCCCTCGTGGTCCTTCCGTTCTTTAGTTGTGGTGATGGGATAACTCCCTTTTTCTTTCATGATTTGCAACTATCCTAGTTTGGATGAGCAGGGCCTTCCTTCTCTACTCTGGAGGCCCCCCTTC